GCTGAGGCGGGGATCACTTAAGGCCAGGAGTTCAAGACCAGCCTGGCCAAGATGGCAAAACCCCGTCTCTACTAAAAATACAAAAATTAGCCAGGCATGGTGGTGGGCAACTGTAATCCCAGCTACTCAGAAGGCTGAGGCAGGAGAATCACTTGAACCCAGGAGGCAGAGGTTGCAGTGAGTGGAGATCACACCATTGCACTCCAGCCTGGGCAACAAGAGTGAAACTCTGTCTCAAAAAAGATAAATTAATAAAAATAAAATGATGTCCCCCAATAGGTGAAGTCAGGTTTAGTTAGTATAAGCATGGCCGTCTCACTGCTTTGAAATTTCTACTAAAAATTTTCAGGCAGGGACCATAACTGATGCTTAAATTGGGTTGGAGACGGGAGGAGATAAAACCTGCCACGGCCAAGTGAAGTTTGGTCCTGTGTCTCCAGCATTTTCTGCTGCTTCTGTGGATACTTACAACTGCCAGCTTACTTACCTGTCTCACCTACAAAGCTCTGAGCACTCTGACAGCAGGGACCAATCCAGTAAATATTTGTTGAAAAGGAGGATCGGTTTTTTGGTTTGCTTGTTTTTTTCAGTTGACTTTTTTAGTCAAAGTCCCTAACAGGGCTTTGTCTTCTGGTTAAAAAATAAATAAAAATTGATATCCTTATTTTCATGATTTAAATGAAACCTGTTCAGCTTCGTTGACTGTAACTTTAAAGTTACTGAGAGGCCTGGTTCAGCTTCATTGACAGTAATGTCAGAGTTTCCAAAAGGCCTTGAGGAAGCATTCCATTTCCCCTCTCACACTGCTCACTCAAACACAGACTAGTGTCTGCTGCTTGAATTCTACATAGTTTTTCAGTTTCCTGCTGACAAGACCTCCAAGGTAAGGGACGCTTGCAGGAATAATCTTGCCTGTGTGAGGAGTTAACTTGCTTGAGCCTGTAGCATCTTTAAGTAAGCAAAAACCTAAAATCAAATTGACCCATAGATGAATTTCACTTCCTCTTTGAGCTACTACATAGTTAATCCACATCATTCAATGTATAAATCACCACTATGAGCAAATGCTAAGCTGAACGCCGTGGAAAAAAACAGATGTTCCCTGCCTTTAAGGAACTTAGTCTAGTGCTGGATAACTCAGATTTTTGGGAGAAAAGGTACCAGTACAACGCAATAATTGATTAGATGCCTAATGAATTATAAAATCAGCAGCCAGCATGGAGACTTTTACGTGATGTGGAGGATGTGTGCCCTGGCTAGGGCCTTCAAGGAGAGAACTGGTGCTGAAGACAAGACACAAGTTTAAGAAGTGAAGTGGAGACTATCTATGAAGAGGCTGCTTTGAGTACAACTATATGTTCAGTCCTTGAAAGAGGTTGTTTGAGTAAGGCAATATAGAGGCATACACTGTAATCTTTCCAGAGCTCAGCTCAGGGTCCCGAAACGGGACCACCTCATATGGTTCAGCAGTTAGTCACCTGCACTGCGCAAAAATGCCTGACCAACATGGGTCAGGGTCAAAAAAGGGCTGAAATCTAGCCTCAGTTTTGCTGCCTTCTGACCTTAGTGCTGGGCCATTTCTGCCCAGAGCAAGGAGCACCTTATCTCTGCCAGCAGCACCTTTTCTGAGTAGCTCTGTGCACACAAATACACTGCACAGGACAGCTCTGGCTCTCCCTCCAAGTCTTAATCTGATCTTGCATAAAATTCAGTAAACATCTGAACGAATGTTGAGATGGATTATTGAAGTTCTATATACAATCTCTACTTAAAAAGGGCTTCTCAAGCAGATTTCTGCCTGAATCTTTTGAAGAGAAGAGATAATGTGTGTATGTGTCTTGGGGGTAGAGAAAAAAGGTAGAGATGTGCTATAAGGCCCCTCTAACTGTTCTAAAATTCTTTGAGTCCACAAACTAAACTTGGTGCTAAGTTTAATAACGTCCAATTGTTATTTTAAACCCAAACAGAGTTTTCCTAATAATATTTCAAGGCCTTGGCCTTCCATGTACCTTTGTCATGTAATACAATTCTGTTATGGACTGAGCCCTTTTAATGTTTGCAGCTGTTTTAAGTGCTTTGAGAAGAATTGAAGAAATAGAAGGTTGGACCTCTGTCCTTAGATATGTATCTACTGGGAAAAGAGAAATGCTTACCACAAAATTAAGAGCATCAACCATTTGGCCAGGCATGGTGACTCACATCTGTAATCCCAGCACTTTGAGAGGCTGAGGTGGGCAGATCCACCTGAGGTCAGGAGCTTGAGACCAGCCTGGTCAACATGGCAAAACCCCGTCTCTACTAAAAATACAAAAAATAGCCAAATGTGGTAGTGGGCACCTGTAATCCCAGCTACTCGGGAGGCTGAGGGAGGAGAATCGCTTGAACCCAGGAGGCAGTGGTTATAGTGAGCCGAGATGGTGCCACTGCACTCCAGCCTGGGCAACAAGAGTGAAACTCCGTCTCAAGAAAAAAGAGCATGAACCATTTGTAGGGGTTATTAGTTAGATATCCTTATCAGATATACTGACCTTAATTCTGACACTACAATAGGACTCCTCGCATATTCTGCAACATTCATATGCAATGAAAAGTGGTCAGCAAAGCAGCCACACAGCTTAAACTAACCAGTGGCATTTCCTGCCTGCACAGTCATATGTAGGTGAGAATACCAATTAGGCAGTAAATGAGAGTAAAAATTAGCTAATCGCTCATCGTAATGCCATCTTAATATGTCGGTCTTTGTGCTCAGTCTCCATGGAGTCTTCACATCCTAATAAGTATGGTTTGTGTTTCACCGAGCTGACACACCAAAGAAGTTCTCCATAAATAACATTTGTATTCTTCCTTCAACATCCCTTCCTTTCCCACTTTCCCATTGGAAATGGTTTCCTCTGCTTCCCAGGAGATCTTCACCGGCCGACTGAGGGAGCCCATCTCGCTACCTCCCCATGCTGGTTGTCTGCATTTGTTGGCTCTATGCACAAACCCTCTTGACTCACCTCCCGTTTCCTCCCTTCCACCCTCTCTTTTACCAAGGTCAGCCCTAGTTTTTCCAAAGCTTATTGACCATGACTGCAGGTCAACACTATCCTAGACCCTGTGGTTAGGACAAAGATGAATAAGATTCCCACCCCATCCCAGAGCTCTCACACTGAAGAGTTAATTATAGGGATAAATGGATGGGTAGGTGGTTGGGGGAATGGATGGAGAGACAGAATACAAAGGCTTTGCAGACAGACATACTGAGTTGGAATCTCAAGTAAGATAGATGCTGGCAAGACTTGGAACCAACCCAAATGCCCATCGATGACAGACTGGACAGGGAAAATATGGCACATATACACCAGGGAATACTATGCAGCCATCAAAAACGATGAGTTTGTGTCCTTTGTAGGGACACGGATGAACCTGGAAACCATCATTCTCAGCAAACTGACACTAGAACAGAAAATCAAACACTGCATGTTCTCACTCCTAGGCGGCTGTTGAACAATAAGAACACATGGACACAGGGAGGGTAGCATCGCACACTGGGGTCTGTCGGGGGGAAATAGCGGAGGGACAGCGGGGTGATAGGGAGTTGGGGAGGATAACATGGGGAGAAATGCCAGATATAGGTGATGGGGATGGAAGCAGCAAACCACACTGCCATGTGTGTACCTATGCAACAATTTTGCATGTTCTTCACATGTACCCCAAAACCTAAAACGCAATAAAATATATATTTTAAAAAAATTTTCTGTAACATTTGGATGCAGGACTGTGATAAACACACTAAATAAAAGAGATTTTGAAACAACAACAAAAAGATGCTAGCTCTGTGAACTTGGGCAAGATAGCAAGAGCCTTAGATTCCTCGTCTATTAAATAAGGGTAGTAATGGCTACCTAGTCTGGGTGGTTGTAAAGATTAGAGACTGTACGTTGCTTAGGGAACTGCTTGGTTAAACAACATGTAAGTGACATAAGAGAAGTACAAACAAAAGGGGTGGGGGTTCCCAGCAGGAAGGCTTACACCTGCAGGAGGCCACACATGAGTGTGTGCGTGTGCATGTGCGCGTGCGCGTGTGTGTGCAGGGCCCTCCCAGCCCCCAGGTGATCTGCTGCCCCAGCACAGCCTATGCAGAGCAGAGCTGGGCAACACAGACCTGGGAGCCAGCAAGTCCACACAATTTTTGCTGATAAAATAGACTTCAAAGCAACAAAGATCAAAAGAAGCAAAGAAGGATATTACATAAAGATAAAAGGATCAGTGTAACAAAAAGAGCTAAAGATCCTAAATATATATGCACCCAATACTGAAATACCCAGATATATAAGACTTATAAAGAGACTTGGACACCCACACAATAATAGTGGGAGACTTACAGATCAATGAGACAGAAAGTTAACATAGATTTTCAGAACTTGAACTCAGATCCGGAACAAGTAGACTTAATTAACATTCATAGAACTCTCCACTTTAAATACACAAAATATACACTCTTATTAGTACTACATCACACATATTTACAGGTGTAAATGAAATATTGATAGGCTGCTTGTTAATTATTTTCTTCCCTCTTTTTTTTTTTTTATGTCTCTATTATTAAACACAATTACAGGCATACCCATTTTTAGACTGCATTTAGCCCGGGCAATAAAGCAACAACCCTGTTCTCTCTCCCTCTTCCTCTTCCTCTTTCTTCCTTTCCTTTTTTTTTTTTTTTTTTTTTTTTTTCTTTCTTTTTCTTTCTCTCTTTCTTCCTCAAAAAAAAAAAAAAAAAAGTCTACACAGTCTGGCATTTACAGGTGAAACAGGTGTGACCTGCAGCTACTGCCCATGGGGCACCAGGCAAGGGGTTAGAATGGAGATTGGGAAAGGGCCTAGCTGCCAAAGTTAACTAGCCTATCACTGGGGAATGAAAATCATTTCACTCCCTAGAAAGCCAGGCTACTTGTTTTCCTTCCAGCTACGTCTCTCTGAAGGTCTAAGATGAAGTGTTTTCCTTTCTTCTCCAGCTCAGAGGCTGAGAATGGTGTGGAAGAGAAAAAGAAAGCCTGCAAGTCGCCGACAGTCCAGTCCCCTACCCTATCTCCGGAGGCCGACTCCCCAGACCAGAAGAAAATCATTAGCCTACGGTAAGTCCTTCATTGGCTCTCTTTGTTCTCTTTTGTCTTTTTGGGAGTGCGTTATGGGAGGAGCAGGGGTTTTTTGTTAAGAGTGAGGACGTATTAATACTATAGACAAATAGTACATACCCATGAGAAAGAATGAGCATTTTTCCTTGAGCTCCTGGCCTTCAGCAGAGCATCTACACTTTTCTGAAAGCCCTGATTTTGCTGAGGGATGATGCCAGGGTGACCCACTCTCAGACATAGATTTATAAAGCACCTGGAAAAACTGCCCAGGTTGGAGTGTCTGCCCAGCCTCAGTGTGCACACCTGGTGTCTCACTGTCTTGGGAGCCATGAGAAAAGCTAAGGAAAAGAACCACCATCTCTGGGACTCACCAGGCCACCAGTTCCTGTGACGGGCTAAGAGGGAGGGTTGGTATGGTCATGGGGCGGGAGGGGAGAGGCAGTTTAGAGATATGTAGCTACAGCCCCATCATTCTCAGAGGCACCAACTACCAATCAGAGACTAAAGTTGCTTTGGGACCCTTAAAAGACAGTGGTTAAACCAATAGTGTATGATGGGAAAGTGCAGTTATCTAACCTAAGTAGAGAAATCATTGCTGTCCTTCCCCATTATTAGAACTTTTAGAGCTACTACCTTCTACTTCTTTTGGTCTCTGCTAAAAGATTATTAACTCCACTTTTTGCTTCCTTCCCGGCTTCCCAGCCCATACCTTCTCTCCAAATATATGCTTCATTCAGGACCAAGAGTTAAGTCTTGACTCCTCCCCAAATTGTCCTCTTCTGACTCTAATTTCCAATTATCTCTCTATCTTTTCTACATGCCTGTTTTGTGGCATTTTTTTTTTTTAAATAGTCTCACTCTGTTACCCAGGCTGGAGTGTAGTGACACATTCCCAGCTCACTGCAATGTCCCAGGTTCAAGTGATTCTCCTGCCTCAGCCTCCCCAGTAGCTGGGACTACAGGCGTGCACCACCACACCCAGCTAATTTTTGTATTTTTAGTAGAGACGGAGTTTCACCATGTTGGCCAGGCTGGTCTTGAACTCCTGACCTCAGGTGATCCGCCTGCCTGAGCTTCCCAAAGTGTTGTGATTACAGGCGTGAGCCACCACACCCGGCTGACATCTAACTTTAACCATTTTTTTCCCTCTAGTTGTTTCCCCTCACAGCCTTACTTAATACTTCTCTTCACAAAGGCACAAGGCATGTTATTTCTTGTATCTTTTACTATTGTTGGCTGACTATAGCAGGCACCTTGAAAACACTGTTGGTTTTATTCCAACTTCCCCAGGTCTCGGTAAAAATAACATACTCTCACAGGGCATGCTTGCTAAACTTCACGGGCATGTGGTCTGTGCAGTTGGAAAGGGCCCACACTTGGTTTAATGGTTCCCTCTTGCTATCTGGAAATATTTAATAATTTTTATGTAAGGGGGCCAGGTGTCGTGGCTCACATTTGTAATCCCAGCACTTTGGGAGGCCTAGGCAGTCAGATAACTTGAGGTCAGGCATTCGAGACCAACCTGTCCAACATGGTGAAACCCTGCCTTTACTAGAAATACAAAAATTAGCTGGGCGTGGTGGTATGCGCCTGTAATCCCAGCTACTTGGGAGGCTGAGGCGGGAGAATCATTTGAACCCAGGAAGTGGAGGCGGCAGTGAGCCAAGATGGTGCCACTGCACTCCAACCTTGGCAACAGAGCGAGACTGTGCCTCAAAAAATTAATTAATTAATAATAACAATTTTTATATAAGGGACCCCACATTCTCATTTTACATGGGGCTTCTCGTCACCTGTAGAAAGTGAGACTAACACTGTCGAAAAGACCCAAAGAAATCAATATTCTATACATGTGTACCCTGTCCACAGGGGTCAGTGTCATGCAGACGAGCCTACTTACTGTTTGCGTCTTTTGAAATTTTCAAGGGTAGAGCCACCCTGCTTTTCACATTCGCTTGCAGTCCATGGATCTTCAGTCTGATCATTTCCTTGGCAATTCCATTAACATTTGTTAATTTGAATCAGTAGAAGTGATGTATTCAAACCTGTGAATAGTATAAATAAAAGGTAAATTGACATTTGTACAAATAATTTTATTTTCAAATAGAGAACAAATGTTTTTTCAAAGATTCCGAAAAAAAAAGTAATCCCTAAAATTCCCAGGGAATTCACGTCTGTGAATATACTGTTTCAATGGCCTGTAGCTGAAATTAAATTCATTTACCTTCAGCTGCTGAGGGGTATTTGACCTGTGATTCGAGCATTGTAGAATCATACACTGTTGTGGCTAGAAGTGGCTCAGGAAGTCATATAGTCCATCTTTTCACAGCTGAGAAAACCAGAGCCTAATTCTCTAACTTCAGTCATTTCTGTTTCTTTGTGACACCCATATACCACCTGAATTACTTCAGATTGTTCTTAAATCCACTTTGAACCAACTTTTTTTTAACTGAACCTCATTTTAAGGGATAATATTGTGAAATCATGAATTTTATGTGCCGTTTTTTCCCAGTAAACAATAAAAAAACTTCATAATCATAAAACTTATTCTCATATATAACTAAAAATCATCCATGCATTTCACTTTGAAATGACTGCTTTTAGCCATAGGGTTGAAGATATGTACAAATGTACACATCTACTAAAATGGACAACCAGGACTAGAATCGCCTTGGAAAGAAACTCTGGAGCTCTGACCTCTGTCCTTGAGAGGAAGAAGAAAGGCTTGACTTCAAACATGTTTTTTGGTTTTGTTTTTATTTCTGATTTCACTTTTATTGTATTCTCGATCTGAGATGTTTTGTCTTTTTTTTTTTTTTGCTCATACCCAATTCTTGCTTATCCTGTTGGGCCCAGCATTTGAAGTCCTCATTATTCTATTGTTTTCCTCTTCTCTTACCTCCTGTTAGACTTACTGGCTCCATATCTTCTTTAACTCCTATAGTATGTATTTTTTTGGTACTAAATCACATACTACCTATTTTAAAAAGTGTTTGATGCATGTGTACACAGGCGCCTTAAGGATAAAGACTGTGAGGCCGGGCTCAGTGGCCCACGCCTGTAATCCCAGCACTTTGAAAGGCCGAGGCAGGCAGATCACGTGAGGCTAGGAGTTCGAGACCAGCCTGACCAACATGGAGAAAACCCATCTCTACTAAAAATACAGGAATTAGCCAGACATTGCGGGTGCCTGTAATCCCAGCTACTTGGGAGGCTAAGCCAGGAGAATTGCTTGAACCCAGGATGTGGGAAGTGGTAGTGAGCTGAGATCACACCACTGCACTCCAGCCTGGGAAACAAAACTCCGTCTCAAAAAGGAAAAAAAGGATAAAGACTGTGTTATGGGCCCTAAGACATTTAACACAATGCCCCACTCAATTAATACTTGTTAAATATTAATGGAATTCTGAAACAAAAATATTCTTTGATTGAACTATAGTTGCAATACCGGTTAGTAATTTGCCTCAAGTACTCCTTTTTAAATACTGATTAAAATACTTTTAAAATGACATAATACTTTTAAAATAACAAGTTTTCACAGCTTGTTATTTCAGCCTCTGTAAGTTACTATTTCTACAGTTTTTGATTACAGCCTGCTGAAATCATTCCAGTGTCCTAAAGTATGTGCTGTGTAAATGCCCTCAGAGTACCATGAATGATTTTTGATATCCGGAAAAGAAAAACAAATGTCAGATTTTCTTGGAAGATAGTATCATAATCAAGATTTATTACAATAAATTAATGAGCAGCATAAAAAATGTATCTCATAGGCCGGGTGTGGTGACTCAAACCTGTAATCCCAGCACTTTGGGAAACCAAGCCAGGTGGATTGCTTAAGTCCAGGAGTTCAAGACCAGCCTAGGCAACAATGGTGAAACCCCATCTCTACAAAACATTAGCTGGGCATGGTGGCACGCACCTGTAGTCCCAGCTACTCGGGAGGCTGAGGTGGGAGGGTCACTTGAGTCCAGGATGGGGAGGTTGCAGAGAGCCGTGATTGTGCTGCTGCACTTCAGCCTGGGCAACACAGCAAGACTCTGTCTTGAGAAAAAAAAAAATTATCTTACAGACACCCTGGACTTTCTTTCTTTAGGTCAAAATCCAGTTTTGATGGTGCCTCTTTAGCAGGTGATAAGAACGACTGTAAAACAGAAAGCAAAAATGACCCTAAGACTGAAAGGAAAAAGTCTTCCTCTTCCAGCCAGGTAATTTGAGAGTGGAATTTGTATTGTCTTAGAGGGTAACAGGACTATTGAAGCCGGTGACAAGAAGGAACCCAAGTATGCACCTTCCTGCTGGTCAAGACTAATATAGTCATAGAGTTTAGAGAATTTAGAAGAACAAACAGGCAGCAGTTCCTCCAGTCCATTTTTCATCAATGTTATATTCCACAACTCATCTTTCAGCACACTGCATGATAATGAGTTCCATGCTGTGACCCTGAACTCTAACAGATACCCGGAGATCAGGGGCCAGCACAGAGTCATGTGCTTATCCAGTAATTAGCAGGACAAGGGGAGTTGTGACATCCTTGTACTGAAATTGAAGAATATAATAATGCACCTGCCTCAATGGTAGCCCAGCCAACTACACCTGGAGGAATCAGACCTTTGGACAGGGTAAGGATTCTCCTCCAGAACTAATTTTGGTTCTGCTCTAAAATATACCCAGATAGGAAACAAAGCCCAGTTGTATGTCATCAGCGAGTGTGATACATGTACTGGGGCCAGGAGTTTAGGTTTGTTTTTTATTTTTCAATTATTCTTCACTTCTTTAAATACTTGAACATGTGTCTCCTAAGAGCTAAACCAAAAACCATCAGTACACCCAAGAAATTTAAATATGTATTAAAATATTATTAATATAAAATCCACTTTTGAATTTTCATAGTCCCAGTAATAAATGTCCTTTATAAAGGCTTTTTTTTTCCTCTCCAGGATCCAACCAAGAGTCACATACTGCATGTATTTGCCATGTCTTTTCTTTTTCTTTTTTTCTTTTTTTTTTTTTTAGACAGCCTTGCTCTGTTGCCCACAATCTCGGCTCACTGCAACCTCCACCTCCCATGTTCAAGTGATTCTCATATGCCTCACCCACCCAAGTAGCTGGGATTACAGAGGTGCACCAGCACACCCAGCTAATTTTTGTATTTTTAGTACAGACAGGGTGTCGCCATGTTGGCCAGGCCTGTCTCAAACCCCTGGCCTCAGGCCATCTGCCCACCTGGGTGACCCAAAGTGCTGGGATTACAAACATGAGCAACCACACTCAGCCCTGCTATGTCCCTTTTAATTCAGATCAGCCCCACTACCTTTTTGGCCCTTTATTACACTGACATTTTTGAAGAGTTTATGGGCTAACATATTTTAAATCAAGTGTGCAACCATTGCTCACTGTAGCCATTAAAAATAAAAGCTCAGTGAAGCCCCACAGAACACCTAGCGTTAATCAAGGTACCTTTCTATAAGGTGTTTATCTATAAAATAGCTGACTTGCAGGGACCATCTGCCATCCTGATGACCTGGTCTGTAGTTCTTTATGGCAAAACAGGGCCAGCTTTGCCATTGAGACCACTCTTGGTTTGTATAATAAGCCACCCAGGACCTCCTACCCATTCCCCTTATAAGAATTTTTTCTTGAGGCCGGGCGCGGTGGCTCATGCCTGTAATCCCAGCACTTTGGGAGGCCAAGACAGGCAGATCACCTGAGGTCGGGAGTTTGAGACCAGCCTGACCAACATGGAGAAACCCCATCTCTACTAAAAATACAAAATTAGCCAGGTGTGGTGGCGCATACCTGTAATTCCAGCTGCCCAGGAGGCTGAGGCAGGAGAATTGCTTGAACTTGGGAGGCAAAGGTTGCAGTGAGCTGAGATCACACCATTGCATTCTAGCCTCGATAACAAGAGCAAAACTCCCTCTCAAAAAAAAAAAAAAAGAATTTTCCTTCTGAAGCATCCTATGAGACAAATTGAGTCTGTGGAGGGAATACCCAGTTTTACCCCATAGCTCACTGTAGCCTTGAACTCCTGCGCTCAAGAGATCCTGCCTCAGCCTCCTGAGTAGCTAGGACGGTAGGCACAAGCCATCATGTTCAGCTAACAGTTCTACCTCTTAATAGCTGTATGGTGCAGGTGAAAGTGTTTTACAAGCTGTGAAGTGCTGGCTATCCATTGCTATTGTCACAGTTGTGAAAACAGATCCCTCGAAGATGAAGTGATTTGCAACATTTCACAGTCTTGGGCCTCCTGCTGCCCTGGAGAGTGAAGTCTTTGTGTGAAATCCTACTTGTCTTGACAGTAGCCTACTGCATCCTACTCCTGTCACTGGCTAAGGAAATGCCTTTACAAAATAATGCAGTAGGAAGAGTGGCCATATGTTGCCTTAGACTATAGGTCCTTTCAGTGTATTATCCCATTTAAGCCTAAGGCATCCCTTGAGGCAGGTACTGTTTTTGCTCTCTGGTACAGAAGAGGAAACCAAGACCCAGGAAGATGAAGTGACTAAGCCATGGTCACACACCAAGAAGTAGAGCCACTACAGCCAAGACTTCAACTCAGCCTTACCTGATTGCAAAGCTTTTAACCACTGTACTCTTCTGAGAGTCCTTACTGGTACCTTAAGGACCTGGGATTCAGTACCTTCTCTAATGAGACTCCTTAGAATTTCATCCCATTTCTCATCAGGGACATCCTTGTCCAGCCCTGTTACCTTGGCAATAGGCTGACCAGCAGCTGCATCATTATATCCAACCAGCAAAGTGTTAAACTTGTTAGAAAATGAAACTTGTATGCCCTAATTTTCACGGTGTTCTCCTGAAGGCTTTTGTCAGAGACTGTAAGATCAGTGAGAAGGAATTCCTAAAGTTACTATTAAGGGAGGGGAAATTTGTTATTGAATCTAAAATTTGTGATGTTTCACAAGAAAATGAGAGTAGTGATGCTTGTATTTTGTTCTCATTGTAGTACAAGGCCAATATGCACTTTCACAAGTTGTTTCTTAATGTTCCAACGGAGGAACCACTGAGGCAAAGTAAGTTCTGACCTGTTTGACTTTTTTAGCTACACATTTGAAAAGCTGATCATTAGTTTTGGGGAAGAAAGAGAGCAGCATCTATGGACTGAGTCACCCAGGGGACCAGGTTTCTGAAAGTCATGATGTAACAATAACACCAGCTTCAGTCCGCTTTCACTGGGCAGCATGAAAAGATCAGAGAGGAGAAAGAGAAACAGTTCTCCATGGGGTATGGAGTCACCCAAGGTGGTTCCATGATACCAGTACTTCCCTTCTTTATTGTGAAATACACGGGGTTAGATTGCATTAAGATTTAGAATAACAAGCCTGGGGCAAGAGAGGCCACTAGAAGAAGGCTAAAAGAAAACTCACATTCTTAAGACATGGACAGACGCGTGCTGATGCCACTGTGAAAGATGTGATGGTCACCTAAATATCTTGCCCAGTATGCAAGTTAAACACACCTACTGGGCTCTGCAGTGGTTCATCAAGGAACCCAACATTCCATTCTAGTCTCTCTTGATGTGCAAAAGTTAAGGCAAGATGCTGGGTTCCTGCCATGACCTTCAAACGGAAGGTATGAGTCACATGCTCTTCCCCTAGTGAGGCAGTCTTTTTCAAAAACAGTCGTTAGTGAGAATACTGGGGAAAAGGGGAACAGGTGTACTAATATCAGCACGTGGGTGACACACCAGCCTACATAGAGGAGACTTGTAAAACCCCATTCTTGGTCTATCAGGCACAATGGTAGATTTGCCTTTTTATTCTGATATTTATACTGAAGTTGGTAAGACTTTGAATTTAAAAACAAGCTGGTCACCACAGCTCTCTTCCCATAAAGAAAACTGAAGAAGAGGCAATAGAACTTTTGAGTATGAATATATTATCTCTGCCCATCCTTGAGTAGCTAAAATATATACACGGTTTTTATTTTAAATGGAAATTCTAAATGATGCTATATCTCTGTATATTCTCCTAGGCTTCACCTGTGCACTACAGAAAGAAATTCTATACCAAGGAAAGCTCTTTGTATCAGAAAACTGGATTTGTTTTCATTCCAAGGTCTTTGGAAAAGACACAAAGGTTGGTATAATTAAAAAAAAAAAAGAAAAAGAAGAAGAACACTAGCCCCATACTTTATCAGATATGGTAAATATTAATTGTCTTAAATTTAGATATATTTATAGATATTTATATCATGGTTATTCTTTTTTTATGCCAAGTTTCCTTTGTTTTAGTTCCAAATACTACAGGTTCTAAATGCTTCCAGATGACACTAATTTTCCTTTTTTCCCTAAACTTTCTCCCTCCTTTCTTTATACACATAAACCTCATATATGCACATATACCCCTATATAAGGTATATGTGTATAAATAAAGAAGGGAGAAAGTTTATATCCCACCCATAACGATACCCGAAATCCTTTTTACTAAGATGTCACCAGGGAACACTCAAAGTTGTTTATATGGAGGGCGTGCCATGATTTTCAAAGGCATACATTTAAACTAAAATGATTTCTTTTTAGAAACATCCATTTTTGTACCACATTTATACCAGTTACCAGCAGCGATGTCTAGGACAGAAGGCCTGTAAATAAGCTCCCGCTGTACCCTCCCCAGCACAAAATGAGCAGGAGGTAGAGCAGTTAGGCCTAGCCTGGGAAGTCAGATACCCTCAGTCCCAAGTGGACTCCAATATCACAGCTTTTCATTATTATTAAACACAGATTTGGGGGGGCAGAGACACATGACACGCTGAGGCATTAAGGAGAACAGCCTAAAGGAATCGGTACTGCCCTCTAAACTTGGGACCGTGGGACTGTGGCCTATGAAGGAAAGATAATTCTATCCCACTGACTTTTTTTTTTTTACCTTTGAGCTATGATGTCACATCACAGTTCATTCAGGCCTCCAGAATAAGGAGTCAGAGAAATGCCCTCTTGGGTTTGCATGACCTCAATGAGTTGTCAATCATTCTGATTTGTGGTTATGAAGAAGCAACTTTCATACTCATGAAGAAGCTGACTAAAACTTTTTGTTTTGAGTGGTAGATGTGCTTCCTTTAAATATTCGCTCTAAAACCACTGGCAATTGCATAAAGACCATTTTGTTGGTGTTGGAGCTAGAGACTAGCATACTATTCTTTAGGTAAAACATCTTTTTATATTGATTTTTTATCATATAAAGTTATATTTAGATAAGCATTATTTGATTCACAGTATCATCTGTATCAGTATAATACAAAGCAATATGAAGCAGTATTCTATATATTTCTACATTTCTGAATTAAAGGGCTTTTTCATGGAATGGGGAAGGGGATTGGGTAGTACTAATCAATGTGATACACTTCTCCGAAATTCACAGAGAGCCAACATCTCTGAGCAGAGCAGCAGGCACTGAAGACACTGATGAACAAAGTGTTAGTCTTTGTTAAGGGATTGGGGAATTCACAAAGGCAGTCAGTGCAGTTTCAAGCTAATACGATTCTCGCAATGGTTTTAAAGTTCTACTTCTACCTAAGAGAGAACTGATACAAAGAAGTTAGAAGGAGTGACCCTGGTTTTTTGAAGACCTGGATCCACTGAGATTGCTTTTACAATGTGTAACCTACAGAGGCAGGAGACTGAAAATTAGCAGAGCGTGGGAATAAAAACCATGATAGTGACTTGTATCTTCCATCCCTTCTAAGAATGATGTCAAAGGAGACTTGGACTTCAGAGATGTTGCAGAATTTCCTCACTGCCAGTGGACTTCAGTCCAATGTGGTCCAATATGAGCTCAAGGCACCCAAACAATTGCTCTACAATGGGAACTTTCTAATCAAGTTCCCCTTCTAAAGCAATTTGCCCTGGAAAAATGTTACCATTGCCCTGGAAAAATATTATCATTCACCCTGGAAAAATATTAATAAAGTGTAGCCTTAATTTAATCAGGACCTTTTTAGTCAGCCTGTTGGTATTTGCAGATGTTAGCAAAATTAACATGCATGTATCACATTCTGTCTAGGCTCAAACTGAAAAGTGATTTAAGCTTTATTTTACAAATGTTATCTAGTTGTACTTTTATACTTATGAAGCAATTGATTGAAAACTCCTTCTTAAGGGTGTTCCATGTCTTAAATGATGAAAAATCTAAATTTATAGCCCTTTGTCACTGCGTGTTTGTATTGCTGCTCAGAAACAAAATTAGACCCATTTTTTATTAACATCATCTAAGTAGATCTCAAATTCCTTTTTTCCAAATTTATCCTACCTTATAAGCTCTGAATTGCCTCCCGCCTTTGAAAAATGTGAGTGGAGTTCTTTGGCAAACAGTTTTTAGAAAATGTCTCAACTGGGTTGCCCTTATTTTTCCATAGTCTTCCTGCCTAGATCGTTGAGGGCAGTAAATAATCCCACCTCATAAACCCAGATGTGAATGCAGATATTCAGAATTAAAAGCTCATTTTGCTTCCTCCAAGCTGGCAGTACTTACATAAAGCGCATCTCTTCTCCACTTTGAGACTATGTGAGGCATTTTCAAGTAGATGTTCAAGTGAGTGTGAGTTCCTAGGGAAGGAGGGAGTCAGATCATTTTTCTGTTTTTTGTAGAGATGGGGTTTCACCACATTGGCCAGGTTGGTCTCGAACTCCTGGCCTCAGGTAATCCACCCACCTTTGCCTCCCAAAGTGCTGGGATTACAGGCATGAGCCACCGTGCCCGTCCTAGATCATTTTTACCGTGGCTACGTGTGACTCTATTTTCAGGGACTAAAGTGATGCGATCCATTTTCCTTAGAGATCAAACTTGGTTGAAGAGATATAACATAAAATTATCATGAACTTCCGTGTTTTGTGCCATTTGATACATTCTTATAGCACATCATATTGAAAAGAACCCACATTTTGAAAGATTAGTTTGAATTCCATCTTTGTAACTTCTTATGTATGACATGTACCTCTCTAAATAAATTTATTTATTTCTTACAATATTGACCATGTAGAATTTTTATAATTAAATTAAATTCTCATCTGGTAAATAGGTATCAATAATGGTAGCTTTAATAGTTATCATTGTTGTTATCCTTTGTTGAACCAGAAAACATATTTATAATTCTTTTATTTCACACACCCTGATTTCATGAAACAGGTAAGGAGATAAATGAAATTTTTATTCATCACTGGGCATTTTCCATATTTTATCTCACTTAATCCACATAAAATCCTGAGAAGCAGACGAGACTATCTCCGATTTATAAATCAAGAAACTGAGGCCTAGAACGGAGAGCTTACAAGGTGGAGTAGGTCATTTAGATACAGGTTGAGTATCCCCTATCTAAAATACTTGGGACCAGAAGTGTTCTGGATTTCAGATTTTGCAATGTCTGCCAACATGCAACTGGCTAAGCATCCCTAATCCAAAACTCCAAAATCTGAAATGCTCCGATGAGCATTGCCTTTGAGCGCCAATATCAGCATGCAAATTTGGAATAGTTTGGATAGCTGATTTTCAGATTAAGGATGCTCAACCTGTAGTAACATAACTGAGCCAAGAATTCAGGTCCCAGATTTTCTGTCCAGTGATGTTCCTATTATTATTAGTGCTTTTTAACCTTTCCCCCCCAACATGACCTAAAGAGAGAGGAGAGTGGGGCATGTGGAAATTAGCCCAAAGTAGATGACCACAAGCTTGAAATTTCGTTAGAGCCTTGGGCTTTTTCTTTAAAATGAATATACATTTTGCATTCCATTTCCATGTCTGAAGATAAAGGTTTCCCACCAAGATCTTCAGCTGAATCGATGATTCAGATGTATCCTCTGGCTTAGTAAGCACCACTTGGAGGAGCTTCAGTGACACATCCCTGCCACTCTAAGACTGACTTTTCTTCATGGAGGCTGTGAAAGCTTGCTGCTGATTTTGATTTCTGATTTCTGATTTTTTTTTTCCTTTAACATGAAGATTTGAAGTGCTGTTCTGTTAAGTCTGAACTGGCATTAACTTGGTGATTCTGTTTCAGATCTCTATTCCAGCTTTCTCAGTAACCCTAATAAAGAAAACCAAAACTGCTCTTCTAGTGCCAAATGCCCTGATCATAGCAACGGTCACAGACAGGGTGAGTACGCAGCAGAGTGAGGGCACCTTTGCTTTGTCCTCCTGCTCTGGGCTTTGCTGCCTGAGGGGCCTCTTGCCAAGGACCAAGACTCCAAACCATAAATACCTTCATCTCCTGTGGTGAATCAGGAAAATTCTATGAGACTAATTTTAAAAACCATAGCCTGTAGGCATTCATGGAGTGCTGTTTCCCTTCACAAGGTGATTTATTCTCATAGAAGTGTTGCCAATTTTGAATTTCCTGCTGACTTAATTATACTTGCCTGACCAAGGTCAAAAAAATAAAATTCTTTCTCAACTTCTTTTTCCCTCACATCTACTAGGTCAGGCTAAACTGATATACTCAGGTCTTTAATAGTCTTAAAAAAAAAAAGGAGGCCAGGCGTGGTGGCTCATGCCTATAATCCCAGCACTTCGGGAGGCTGAGGGCTGAGGTGGGAGGATTGCTTGACCCCAGGAGTTGGGGACTATCCTGGGCAACATGGTGAAACCCCGTTGCTACCAAAAATACAAAAATTAGCTGGACATGGTGGGTTATGTCTGTGATCCCAGCTTCTCAGGAGGCTGAGGTAGGAGAACCACTTGGACCCAGGAGGTAAAGGCTGCAGTGAGCCATGATTGTGCCACCACACTCCAGCCTGGGCAACAGAGCAAGACCCTACCTCAAAGAAAAAGAAAAAAAAATCCAGATATGGTGGTTCACACCTGTAATCCCAGCACTTTGGGAGGCCCAGGCAGGCAGATGGCTTGAGTTTAGGAGTTCAGTATCAGCCTGGGCAACATGATGAAAACTGTCTCTTCAAAAAATACAAAAATTAACCAGGTGTGCTGGCACACACCTGTGGTCTCAGCTACTCAGGAGGCTGAGGTGGGAGGATTGCTTGAGCCTGGGAGGCAGAGGTTGCAGTGAGCTGAGATCAAGCACCACTGCACCCCAGCCTGGGTGACAGAGTAAGACCCTGTCTCAAAAAAGGAATAAATATTTATAAAGAACAATAGCAACAACAACCACCATTTTTTACTGACAGGGGGAGGCAGGCAGGTTGATAGTGAGGAGTCCCTGGTGTGGCGGTAGCCAGCCTTTCCATAACCTCAGTATCTCCCCAGAGCCCTTCCAGATAAATACAACTTGTACCTGCTCTGCAACTGCAGGTGCGGGATCCGTTTTTAGACCTTTATTTCCAGGTTGCCTGAACTACCTCCTTTACAGAAATTCTAGAGCTGAATTGACTATTGGGCTACCTAAGACATATGCAATCAGAAAAATTTGCATTAAAGTGGTGTGTATTTTAACTTGGCAAGAAAGAGAGAGTGGTCTGGTTACTTCTCACATGAAATTTTTAAAAATCTTTCACGTATTACTTCTGTGAAGCATAAAATCTACATTCTATAGATTTCATTTCTGTTTTTTTCTTTTTTTCTTTTTTTAATAGAGATGGGATCTTGCTATGTTGCCAGGGCTGGTCTCAAACTCCTCGGCCCAAGTGATCCACCCTCCCCAGCCTCTCAAAGTGCTGGGATTACAGGCATGAACCACCATGACTGGCGATAGATTTCCTTTCTAGCCATACTAGAAAACTATAGAGAGAAGAAGAAAAAAGGAAAGATAAAAGAGACCATTCTGATAAGCTAGAAAATATGTTAATATCTATTTGGTGATTTTTTAAAATACTAATAGTCAACAGGCATCAGTATTTCCTCCTTGTCAGACATACACTAATGCTTTTCTTATATTTTCTCATTTGTTCAATGCCAACACCCTGTAATGGGTGACTTGTTAGGAAAACTGAAAGTTAGAAGGGTTAAGCAATTTTCCCAGTGTCACCCACTTTGTACATGTCAGAGCCAGCATTTGCAACTGGATCTTCCTGACGCCAGAACCCACAATATTAATTACTTTGGAATACAGTTCTTGCTTGGAAATAATTCAAGTTCCCTCACTGGTGAATGAGAAGGATAATCACAAACTCATGGAAAGGAGGTCTGAAAACATTCTATGGCCTAAATAGACGGAGAAAAAAGTAGGTTTTTCTATTTTCTGAATGTATTGTTTATGGTAAAATCATTTTTCCTGATGTCATTTGTCTTCTCGTGATTTGTCTAGCTTTGATTTTACTCCTTTCCCATAGCTCACTTATAAATCTCCACTAGAAAATCTCCATATTTGTACAAGGAAGAATCTGGAAATAGCATGAAAGAGAACTAGCCTGTTAGAGACGCTGGGAAGTTTTCAGTGGAAATCTAGGTCAGAGCAGAGAAAGCAGACCCCTGGGAATTGTTAAATACCCTTAAAAACAAAAACAGAGGGAGAGAGATTTTAAAGGGGACCTGGTGAATGTCAGCAGCCTTTTCTTAATGTCCAGGCCTTTTCTTCTCTGGGCCTGTTTGAGGCACCGATGTCAGGGTTTTGGAGCCTTCATTTTGCCCTGCATTTATTTATTACTCTTAAACTGGGTTTGAGGGTTTTGTTGCTTCTGTGGGAGAATACGTTTACTTTATTGTAGGAATGGAATAAAAACTGAATGTTTGGGTGAAAGGAATGAGAATATGGGCCAAAGAGAGGTCCACGTTGTTTGAAAATGAGAAGCTGGATACAGATACTTTTCTGAACTGTGAACTCCCACTTCGCATCAGGAATATCTCTTCGTAATTATTCCATTTTGTTTTTCAGTACATATTTGTCTCTTTACTCTCCAGAGATTCAACTTACAAACTACTAAGATCTGTATGTGGACACTTAGAAGTGAGTATGATGTCCCTGAGCCTCAATTACTGCCTGTCTTCTGTATTTCTTATGGTTTCATAGCTGATCTGGTTTTTCATTTTGTTCCAATGATTTCAGAATACAAGTGTTGGTAACAGTCCCAATCCATCTTCTGCTGAAAACAGTTTCCGAGCAGACTGCCCTTCGTCTCTGCCTCTGGTAAGTCGCCTATAAAACTATCTAAATGCAAAGGAAAGGGAATATGTCCCACAGTTACATTTGTGCTTACACCATGACTGAGCTGTGGGAAGAGCTTAGGACCAAAATATTTGAGGCACCGTTGAAGAAACAGGATATACCTGTCTTGAAGAAGAGGAAACCATAGTAGCCATAAACTTTTTGCAAGTAATTGAAGAGTTTCCTACAAAAGGAAAGAAACACATAGTAGGCTACCTTGGTGTGTGAAGGTGTGCATAGAGTCTTGCTCTGTTTGCTCGTCAGTATTGGCTTAGAGGGATTCACAACTCTGTTTGAGGTAGGACTGAGTCATCCCACACATTCAAATGTTTCCTGTGTTCATGGCACCATGCTAGTGCACACTGTAGGATACCAGGAAAAATTAAAACTATTTCTTGCCTTCAGAGACTTCACAACTTAGAAGAGAAGACAGGCTCAGATTTAACTGTTAAAAAAAAAAAAAAAGAAAGAAAAGAAAAGAAAGCTATAACGCCCAAGTGACAGGTAGAGATCATTTGATTGATTCCCTTAGACTTTGTAAACTGTAGAGTAAATCTCCAGTGGGAAGTACCTCCCTCTGTTTGTATAAGATTTGTACCCATAATGATTATAAGGTTTTCCCGAGAGAGTTCTAATGATGTCATTCAAATTATTATAAATATTCAACTTTAATGAAACAATATGAACTCAGAGTTTCAACATCTCCAACAAATCTTTTTTTGAGAGCAGTTTAAAAATGATGGGATTGAAAGCACGTTCACACAAACACTTGTACGAGAATGTTAATAGAGTTACTCATGATAGCCAAAAGGTGGGAAAACCCTAATGTCCATCAACTGATTAATGGATTTTTTTAATGTGGTATACCCATACAATGGGATATTATTCAGCCATAAAAAGGAAATGAAGTACTGATACATGCTACAATATAGATGGTCCTTGAAAGCAGTATGCTAAGTGAAAGAAGCCAGACTCAAAAGGCCACATACTGTATGATTCCCTTTATATGAAATGTCCTGAACAAACCATAGGGACAGAAAGTAAACCAGTGGCTGCCAGGGAATGGGGTGAGGGAGAAATTGAGAGTGACTGCTAATGGGTATGAGCTTTCTTTGAGGGTGATGGAAATATTCCAGAATAAGATTGTGGTCATGGTTGCACAACATTGTGAATATTCTAAATACCACTGAATTGTATAATTTTAAACGGCGGATTTTATGTTATGTGAATTTTATCTCAATTTCTTAAAAATCTACCTTGTAAAATAGTAGTGGGAAGCAGTACAAAATATAATGTAATACATATGATTTGTAATCCAACAAACCTGATATTAAATCTGGGCTCCACCCAGCCATGTTATATCATCAGGCAAGCTCTTTAACTGCTTTGACTAAGTTTCTTCGTGCATTAAAATGCCAGCTTCATGATGTAGCTGTGAAGATTAAATGCAATCATGTATATAAGGAGCTTTGCATACTGCCTGATACAAGATAGGCATTCAAGAAATCATTAAATTGAAGAATTTTCTATTTTCCTTCTCCTATAAATCCTTGTATGAAATTGAAATAAGTGTCGAGATGAACAAAAAACAGCTAGTTCAAGGTGAAAGGTTGGTAATTTGCTTACAAGATGAGTCTCATCTTCATTTGGCAGCTGACTAAATTGTTAAAAGCTCAGCCTAATTGTACCTTCGCCAGGACATTTTAATGACACCATTTGTCTCTTCAGCTCTTAAGCACTTTGGGGAACCAAAAGAATACAAAGCAGAACGTCTGTGCTTTTTCCCTTACTCCTCCAGCATCAGTCTAAAATTTAAATGTACTGTTACTCACCCTATTTTGATTTAGTTGAGGGAAGGAAAAGAGCTTACATTTTACTTTGAGAGTCTAATTTGCTAAAGCCGTTTTTCCTTTTCTGTTTCCAATACTTTTTAAAAAATTATAATTTAGTAATATCTTTCTGTCTACATATTTGAACTTGGATTTAGAGCTTTCTCTCTACTTTTTTCTCTTGTATATGTCTATAGTAATCAGTTTTTCTCATTACAAAGTGCTAATGAAACCTCTTTAGCTTCACGCGGGAAGGTTCTCAATCATCGGCGTCCTGGGTTTTTTCTAGACATTTGTTGTTGCAAACAACTTGGCCACTATTTGTTGATGGAATTTTAACCACCCAAAAAATCGGTTTCAGTAACGAGATACTCAGTGATCTGTTGGGAAAATCCCAGTCGGACGGGGTAATCCCTCCATCTATTCTATGTTTTGTAGGTCAGGCCTAGGTGAAAGGACTGGGATTTACAAAGGCCTGCCTGTTTACTAAGGGAAAATCGGCCTGTCTTCATTTCACTTTTTCCTTTCAGGATTTCAATGACGAATTCTCAGATCTGGATGGAGTGGTTCAACAAAGAAGGCAAGACATGGAAGGATACAGCAGTTCTGGTTCTCAGACTCCTGAATCTGAGAACTCCCGAGGTTTGGGAAATTGTTTTATTTTGACTAAAATTTAATTCCCCACAAAACATCCTCACTCCAACCCCTGAAAAAAAAAAAAAAGTCTTCCCTAGTTAAAAATCAGAAATGGGGTCTGCAGAAAGGGTGCCTTGAGCGTTCAAGGGAAAAGAATTGCCTGTGCGTTAAAAATTCATTTCTTTAATATGCAAAGACCTATAATACAAATGGAGGAAAAATGCACATTTTTATGCACATTCAACAGAGGTCTCTTAAATAGACTTAATATTGCGTTGGTGAGAGAGAAACATAATATTTTCTTCCCTCTTACTTCAATAATGTTTTCAATTGTTACAGCTGAATCATCCATGTGAGTTGGTTGGAAAATGAAAGACTATCCTTAAACTACTTTATTACTTATTTGCTTAAGCATTCAATTTCAGCCCCCAGCCACCACAACTGACTTGTGAGAAGATCCATTCATATTCTTGACCATTATGCATATTAAGGGATTGATCTACTTGGTGGTTAATCCTGTTTTTAAATACATTGGAGAGAAAACTTACCCAGCTCCATTTTGGCTTAGTAGATTTCCATGTGACAGAATCCCAAACAGTTCTGAATGTCTCCAAGGGAGAAGCAAAGCCAACTCGGGCAGATGCCCATGTGAACAGAGTACCTGAAGGAAAAGCCAAGAGTCTCCCTGCACATGGTAAGGAATGGAGGTTTTAGGGGTTTTTGTTGTTGTTGTTGTTGAGAAGGGTTGGAGATGTCTATTTGTAACTTTTTTTTTTAATAGAGTCTTGCTCTGTCACCCAGACTAGTGCAATGACCTGATCTCAGCTCACTGCAACCTCTGCCTCTTGGGTTCAAGCTATTCTCGTTCCTCAGTCTCCTCAGTAGCTGGGATTACAGACGCATACCACCACACCTGGCTAATTTTTGCATTTTTAGTAGAGATGGGGTTTCACCATGTTGTTCAGGCTGGTCTCTAACTCTTAACCTCTAGTGATCCATCCACCTGGCCTCCCAAAGTGCTGGGATTACAGGCATGAGCCACCATGCCTGGACTATCTGTAACTTTTAAAGGGCCCCTCTGTTTCACCTTATGACTGCTTTTCCTATTCCCTTTCCTCCATTTGTATTATAGGTCTTTGCATATTAATTCACTTATTCATTTAGCAAACAGTACCCAGTTCCATGCTTACAGTAAGGGATAACAAAAGTGAACAGCTTTCATGGAGGTCACTTCATGATTCTGAATACATGAGATTATGTTTCAAAAATTTCTGGTACTGTAATCCCAGCACTTTGGGAGGCCGAGGTGGGAGGATTCCTTGAGTCCAAGGAGTTCAAGACCAGCCTGGACAACATAGTAAGACCCCATCTCTACAAAAAATTTAAAAATCAGCTGAGTGTGGTATACACTTATAGTTCCAGCTACTTGGGAGGTTGACACAGGAGGATTGCTTGAGCCCAGGAGTTCAAGGCTGCAGTGAGCTGTGATCACACTCCTATCACCTGGGAAACTAAGTGACTGCCTCAAAAAAACAAAAAATTTTCCAGTAAAACTCAAATTTCTTACTTACTACTTATTCTAATAACTAGCTGTACTGGTAAGAGAACAAGGATATTGTTATTATTTACCATTGACTCCAACACAATGCTTGACACAAAGGCGGCTGTGGATAGGTATATATTCAGTGAAACGTGTTGGAAGGAATTGTAACTACTGGTTAAAATCACAGCTGGGAGGCTTCAGTTGATACTTTCTCTGATTTCTTTTACCTGGGAATAATTACCTCTCTCAAGTACCCCATAGGGATATTGCTGGATGAAAGAAGTATTATGGTTTTAAACAGTTGCTTTTCGTTTTCCACCCAACAGGTCAGTCAGAAACTGTTGGAATCTTACATAAAGTCAAGTCTCAGAAATGTCTGATGCTTCACCATATTCTTATTTTCTACGCAATTGTGTAAGTACATGAATTTACTGTGAGTGACTTAAGAAAATGATTCCATTCTCTAAAGGAATAATCTCTTCACATTGCCTAGAGCCACTGTAAATCTCAGTTGTCTGAAATGTAACCCACATCTTTTGTTTGACAATTTCTGTCTCCTACTGCAGCATTTTTTCCTTAGGCTTAGGTCACATTTTCATGGTTGTGCCAAACCCAGCAGAGGACTAAGTTCTGAGTAGGTGCCATTAGTTGGGAAATTTCTCTGTGAATTATGAAGCATCTTTACCCTTGCGATTTTTTTATTTTATTTTTTTAGTTGACATATAATCGTTGTACCTATTTATGGAGTACATAGTGACGTTTTGATACACATAATATATACCGATCAGATCCAGGTAATTAGCATATCCATCACCCTTATCATTTCTTCATGTTGAGAACATTCGGTATCCTTCTAGCTATTTGAAACTCTAGCATTGTTGACTTAGTCATTCCACAGTGGTATTCAACACTAGAACCTATTCCTTCTACGTAGCTATAATTTTGTTTTACCATCTGTCCCATGTCCCCTAAATAGGGGCCAACACAACTTGAAAATGTTATCCTCATCCCCTTTACCAAAAATGTAGGCATTGACTTTTTTAACTTCTCGTTTGTAACCAATTGTTCTTCTGCAAATAGCCTGACCCAGTTCTAGGCTGTTCCTCACAACCAAGGAAGACATGCCCAGTCTAGTTTCCAGATAAAGCAGGGAGTCACCGGAGAACACGGCTGGGGACTGTCTGCCCAGGCTCTTCTAGCAGAGGTCAGCAATACACTGGCTTGGTACTCCAACTTAGATCTGGCTCTGACCAATGCTATTAGAATGGCCATTATTTGCAAATTGAGGGACTTGAGCTAGAGGATTTTAAGTCTCTTCTAGCTGTAAGTTTTATGACAAGCATCAGCCGGTTTGAAAAGGACGTTTTTAAAGTCTCTTTACCAGGTTATTTTGGAAAATGGCTTGCCTCGAGTATACCACATTGGCCCTGAGTTGTTTTAATGAACATCAGATCCTGGCCATTAACCTAATGAAAATGTCTCTTTCATCCCTTTCCAGTGTCTGCGCACTCATCATCTCGACCTTCTACATGAGATATAGAATTAATACTCTGGAGGAGCGGTTGGGGCTGCTAACCTCCATTGTGGACACCCATAATACTGAGTAAGATGATTGCCAGCCATAGTGATGCATACCTGTGTAGCCCTAGCTACTTGGGAGGCTGAGGTGGGAGATCCTTTTTGCCCAGGAGTGTGAGGCTGCAGTGAACCATGATTGTGCCATTGCACTCCTCCAGCCTAGGCAACAGAATGATACTGTATCTTTACATATGTATATGTAAAGATATACACATGCCTGTATATATATATAATCAAATCACAGACAAGAAATATAGAAACGATACAGGCCATGGTTCTTAACCTTAACACAAAAATCTGAAAAAGAGCTTTAGACTATCTTTCCAGAAAATGTATGTACAGCTCCAGATTTTCCAGTGTTAGTAGGTTTAGGATTTCAGTGGACCCCAGAGTAAAAGCCTATGCCATAAATATTCAGATAGTAAACATTGATTACATCTATCAGATTATAAGACAAGGGCAATTATAGTTGTATGATAAGTCTCAAAGAAGGAACTACAAAAGTGTCACATTTCAATGGACATTTGATTAACTAGATAAAGACATTCCTAAGCTTTTAAAGTTCTAGTATAAATAGCCGCAAAGCACAATGATTCTTGTAAGTTTATGCTCTGGTGGAGATAGAGAGGATAATAGGGGTTAATAAAGCGTTCTAAGAAACCACGTGCTTGAAAACAATTGCCTGATTTTTGTTTGGAAGCCGAAACACACCATATCCACTTAAACAAAAATAGCTTAAGAGATTTCTAGATGAGCTTTTACGAATTAGTGCCCTATACATCTAGCCTGGAGTTGCAGATTACTACAGGGCTTTGTCTAATATTAATAAATGAAATGTTCACTGTCTTCTATTATAAACCAATTTTCTGTTCAAATAAATTTTAAATGTGTTCATTCCACTTCTTTCCTTATCATCCCTGCCCATAGTAATTTTTCTCTTTTTTCTTACAGACAGACAGCACCATCCGGCCTGAGGTCACAAGTACAATTCAATGTGGAGGTTCTCTGTCAAGAGCTTACAGCTAACATAGTGAAATTAGAAAAGGTGACCTATTTCTTTCCTGTGTATGGGGGCAGTCACGGTAGTGCCCATTGACTGCCTTGACCTTGTCAGGTCAAGGATTACACACTCAAATGCCATTAGTGTGCCACAATAAACCTACAGGATCAAACCTGGCTAAGGGGTTTTCATAGTAAATGTGGAAGAATATTTTTTATTTCCACAAATAAATAGGTTTTAATCTCATTTTCCTTGAAGTACATCATCTTGTGGGCTTTTTGTTTTTCCTCCTTGATTAGCTTTATAGCTATTAACTTTATAGCACAGGGCCCAATGGTAAGTGACCACTGACATCGGAGCTCAGTGTAGGGACGTGGTAGGGAGCGAACTGGAGACCAACCACTGACTTGGCCAGAAAGTGCAGCCCCAACTCCACCCAGGCTGATTGTTCCCATATAAAATACTGCGTGTAAGCCCTGTCAGAACCATGGGAGATAGGTGGCATTGTTTTCTATCTAATAGGGGAAGAATCAAAGTTTCAAATTAGCTTGCTCAAGGCGACACACCTAGAAAAGCAGCAGATATGATTCTGCTGAGAGAGGATTAAAAGAAAAATATATAAATATAAATAAATTATATAACTTTTAAAATATATTTATAAAAATATATAACTATAAATAAAGTCAGCAGATCTAGAACCTAAACCAGGGCTGTCTGGCTGCAAAATTGTGCTTATAAGCTCTCTGCTTTACTGTGCCTCAGAATTCAGCCGTAGGCCTTGTGGATAAGGCCACAGATGTACCTTTTCCTCGAAGCATCTACAGTCCAAACAACTAGGGCAAATCTGTCCTTAGCTTGTGGCGTTCTTACAAGGGAGCAGGAGGGTGAGCTGGAGAAGAAAATAGTCATGCCAAAAATCTCCCAGAAGTTCAGTCTGATTTACATGTCTTATTTTCGTCTCCTTTATCCGATTAACTACTTTGTTCTTACCCTAATCCTTCAGGAAAGGTTTAAAGTGAAGAATCCAGTGTTCAATTAGAACTGCTCTCACCCCCAGTACTTGGTAGCTTTACATAATAGTAGTTATGCTTACTTGGGAAGACATATTTCTTCATATTAAATACAAATTAGTAAAATTTCCTATTAAATACAAATGAATAAAATTATCTTTGTTTTTCTACACTATAGGTTATCTAGTATTTAACAGCTAAAGTATTGAGAGCAAAGACGTTTCCAAACTTATGTTTTAAGCCAAGTCAGGTCAGAGAATTCACATTGAATCATTCTGTGTGGAAAGTTCTTTACATCCAAAATCAACCTAGAGAAGCTATGGGTTAGCTTTTTTTCCTTTCTAAAACATTAGGTTCTGAGAATTGAAGACAATTTTTTTTTGTAATGAAATGCTTACAAATGTTTGACTTTCATGCAACCCAGAGAATGGAATGGTATTTTCAACTTTGTTCACTCTGACATACCAATGATATTCTTTGGATCAGAAACACACGGGATCCTGCTGCCTTCTTTTGTGTTTCTTCCCACTCTCCCGCCAGGCCTGGCCAGGACACCACATTCTGTAATCAGGGAACTGAAAACAGAAGGGCTTGTTCACAGCAGGCCAACAGCTGCAGGTCTTGTGCAGGGTTCAGACAACCTAGCAGGGAGGCCAGGGAGGCTTACGGGAGCACCAGTGAAAACCACCTTTGTCTCAAAGGAGAAACTGATTCGGTAAAAAGTGGATTTCGGGTCAAAATGCACATGTTGATGTTCTAAAGAGTTATAAGTTGCACACATTGCTCAAAAGAATCTAAGTATTAAAAAGGAGGTACCAGGCCACACCCGTGCTCTTTTTGATTTGTCTGCACTTTTCCTCCGAGGCAGTTGGGAGCTAGCACAGCACAGCCTGCCTGTAAATAGCAGCTCCAGGCTGTGGAGGTCTGAGACAGAGCTCAGCCCTTTATCTTCCATACCAGCAATTGCTTCTCGTCTTCAGGGGCCGGTGATGTCTAAGCCTCATGATCTTTCTCTGCTTGTAACTTCCCTATTTCTGTTCATGGCATCACTGTTCTTTCTGTCATCCTCGCTGGAAATCTAAGAAAAATGTTTAACTCCTTCTTTTCACCTGCCACTGATTGACTAGTTGGCAAATGCTGTGAACTGTGTCTTCAAATGTCTCCTCAAAGTTTCTTCCCACGGGCACCACCCTAATCCACTCAGGCCTCCCACCACCAGTCAGATAGTGTAAAGTTGGATCTTATTACCGTTTTTACTTGTATTTTCCTAATTATGACTGAGGCTGAACATCTCATATATTTATTGGCCATTTGAGTTTTCCTCTATACGTTGCTGAGTTCCCTCCTTTGTTTGACTTTTGGGTTTTCTGTATGTGTGTCATTTTGGATGTCGGTTCTTTTTTATTCCTTTTTCTACCTCCCACTCCTGTTTGTCCATTTATCCTTGGTCTTAAGGGATAGTGAGGAAGAAACAAAGCAGGAAAGTGGGGGAAGAAGGCAATGCCTTTTATGGGAACTGAAATAAACACTTATTTTTCTTAGTTCTGGAAGTGGAATTAATGGTGGAACAGTAGAGCAGAGAGGACATAAATTTTGGAGTCAGACCATTGTTCTTATCCATGTTCTACCGCTTACCACCCACAGAATTCATCCGCTGCTTCGGCTCTTTGACCCTCAGTTTCAGGTGCAAAGCCTGTCTCTGTGTGGTGTTGTGTGGCTCAGGGGCAGGCATGCCGTTCCTGGCACTTACATATCAGATCCCCTTCCTCCTCACTCACCTGAGAACACTCATAGGACATCACAGACTGTTCCCCTACAAAATAACATGTTCTTTCTTTTGATCCCATCACAGAGCTGGTTGTTGAGAATTCCTTGCTCTGAATTCTTAAAAGTGCCTTTATTCAATAGTCATTTACTGAGAACACTTGATGTCTAGCATTGGACCCATCTTAAGATCCAAACATCTGACATGATTGGTCTCTGTCCCTGTGAAATCCACAACCTTTTGGAAATGTTAAAGAATAATATGTAATTGGAATAACAGGAGTGTTCAATCTGATTATGTGCATTTGTCTGATTAAAACCATCAAATGGGCTCTGTAAAGACCAATTTCCCATTGTCTTCTAATGCATTTGGGTCACACTGGTGTTGCCAGTTCCTTGTGCTTTTTCTTCCATCTCATTTATCTCAGTCTCTACTGACATTTTCATCTTTCCACCATTCTTTTAAGCCCTCTGTTTTCTCATTTTAAATTGGATTGTCAGCCATACATGGTGGCTCACACCTGTAAATCCAACACTTTAGGAGGCTGAGGCAGGAGGATCACTTAAGCCCAGAAGCTCTAGATCAGCCTGAGAAACATGATGAAACTTTGTCTATATAAAAAGTACAAAAATTAACCAGGCATGATGGTGTACAACTGAAGTCCCAGCTACTTGGGAGACTGAGGTGGGAGGATTATTTGCGCTTAGGAAGTCAGGGCTGAAGTGAGCCATGATCATGTCACTGCACTCCAGCCTGGGTGACAGAGCGAGACCCTGTCTCAAAGAAAAAGTGGATTTTCAAACAGAGTTCTAGTTTATGAAAAATATCTATTTGCCTCATCTAAATTTAACCCTTGTGTAGGTGAAATAATCTAGAACACTATATAGACTATAGCAAATATGCCCTTAATATACTCCATTATTTAATAATAGGAGCTTCTTTTCTTTTATTTCAAGATACAGAACAACTTACAGAAGCTGCTTGAGAATGGTGACTGACTGACCAGGTTGCTTGAGCCATCGGAATACCTCATGTTTCCCTTTGAAGAAGGTGCATCCCGAGGCATTTTGTTTGAGCGCACTCTGCTGGTCAGAGGCGCAAATGGATGAGAATCCAGACATTGCATGTGGAGGTCTCCAGCTCAGAAAACAGGGGAGGGAAATAATTATGGTTCTTGTGCAATAAAAGTTGACCTTGCCTCTCTGAGGAAGTTTTTGCTGCTGCTGCTGCCTGAAGAAAACAGATCCATCTCTGGAGGCCTCAGGAAGGGCCCCCAGTGGACACTCTCTTGGATAATTACCATGATGGCATCAGCAAACACTCCACCCTGTACCTTTTTAGTCCTTCCCACCCTCCTGCCTCACCCTTACACCCCTCTTAACGACCTTCAAACTAAAGGATACATCATATACCCGCAAACTCAATGTGGTCTTTTCAGGAATTAGTCATGAGTCTCAAAAAGGCAATAAAAATGGCCCTAAATGGACAGCTTGGCTTCAAACTAGTAACATCTACATTTTGTCTTTTTTTTTTTTTTTTTTCAGTTCTGTTTTCAAATTTATGAAATAGCCAACATTCTCCAAAAGTAAGATCAGGTATATGTTTGTGTGGGTGGAGAAGTTTTCAGATTTGTCTAGATCTTAGAAGTTTTTTTTTTTTTTTTTTTTTCAGTTCTGTTGTTATGTTCTGGTTTAAATCACCTGTGTATCTTAATTTCTCAATTCAATTTTGGCAAGAATATCAAGCAAGGTGGACTAAACATTCCGTTTATGTTTTGCTTTCTTGCTGTAACTAATAGTTAATTGGACTGATTCTTACCCAGTCCTGTTCAAGAATCTGTGAGGCATGTGACTGAAGTACTAAATTAAACTTATTTTTGAAACCAAACCTAATTTTTAAGCCAAAAGGTATCATAGTGATTTAATGCAGGATGAAAAACACTGAATTTTTAAGATTGTAAGTGGACTATGTTAGTAGTTTTGAAGCAGGATATCTGTATTCAGCATTCAGTAATGCTAAAATCCATTTCAGCATGTAATTTGTATGTTTTTCTCTTTTGCTGACTAAAATAAAATAACTGGTGGTTTGCTAACTATTTACCATATGGGTTGGCTGGTTTTTATTAATAATTGTTTAGGGTATTATAAGATCTGTAAGTATAAAGAATATTCTGTTTCTATCTGCAATACATTTGATAATCATTTCTATGAAATGTATTTTATTTAATCAGATAAGCTAATAAGTGAATTGGTTACATCGTTTGTATCTGTTAGCCTAGTAGACAGCTGTGCCTGGTGCACCTCTGGCTTTGAATAAATACTCATTGGTTGAAACACCCTGCTAACACTGTTTTGTCTGTTCGTAAATTCTTTTAACCAAGACTTACTATGCTTTTTAACTCTTTCTCCATCTGCCCTCTACTACTTCCAACTCACTTATACTTCCTTCCTCCCAAGTACTCACTTCAAAACTGATAAAAGGATTTAAGTTCTTGGGTTACAATAGTTTAGAGGAAATAAAATGAACTTTGAAGTCAAAAAAAAAAAAAAAAAGACAATGCTTGATTCCTCGGTCCACATTTCATGAGTTATGTGACCTTCAGCAAAATATTTGGCCATATCACCCCATTTTATTGATGAGGTTGAAAGTACCAGTAAGGGCCGGGCGCAGTGGCTCAAGCCTGTAATCCCAGCACTTTGGGAGGCCGAGGCGGGTAGATCACGAGGTCAAGAGATCGAGACCATCCTGGTCAACACGGTGAAACCCCGTCTCTACTAAAAATACAAAAAATTAGCTGGGCATGGTGGCGCGTGCCTGTAATCCCAGCTACTCAGGAGGCTGAGGCAGGAGAATTGCCTGAACCCAGGAGGCGGAGGTTGCGGTGAGCCGAGATCACGCCATTGCACTCCAGCCTGGGTAACAAGAGCGAAACTCCGTCCCAAAAAAAAAAAAAAAGAAAAAAAAGAAAGTACCAGTAAAAAGTATCAGTGTGAGGATTCAGTGTGGTACTGTCGGCCAGGTGCGGTGGCTCATACTTGTAATCCCAGCACTCTGGGAGGCCAAGGCGGGAGGATTGCTTGAGCTCAGGAGTTTGAGATCAGCCTGGACAATGTGGCCAGATCCCATTTCCACTAGAAATAAAAATAAATTAGCCAGGTGTGGTGATGCATACCTATAGTCCCATCTACTCAGGAGAATTGCTTAAGCCTGGGAGATTGAGGCTGCAGTGAGCCATGATCATACCATTGCACTCTAGTCTGGGTGACAGAGTGAGACCCTGACTCAATCAATCAGTCAATGTGATGATGTCTTTAAAGCACATAGCCATGTCAGGCAAGTAGTATGCTCTCATAACAGCTACTATAGTCATTAGTTTTAAAAATATTTTCATGTCTGACATTGCAATTTTATTAAAGTTCAGTGCCAATGCTTTATATTCAAAACCCATTGGTGGTTCAAGAGTGGGTCAGCTATCTCTGGAGAACAATTTTATAACCATATAAAGAGACTTTAAAAGACTCAGATTTCACTGAGTTTTAGTAATCTGCCATCTAAGAATTTATCCTAAAGCAACAATTAGAGGTATAGTAAAGTTTATTTACAAGAGTATTCTTTGAAACTTCTGACAGCAAAATATTCAAGGGTCTAAATATTCAATAGAAGAACAGTTAAATGATGTAGTTATTTAGAATTGCATGGTCAAAGAAAAGCATAGAAAATATCAAAAACTGGATTAAAACATAAAACTAGGGTATGATCCCAATTTTAAAAAGAAAACCTATGTGTGTGTATATACACACATACATACATATTCTACAGATTTTGTATATTCTACAGATTTTCTATAATGAATAGTCATTAGCTTTTTTTTTTTAATTAGATAATTTAAAAGATTGAGTGGCTCTCCGCAGGGAATCAGAACTCACAGCTGCCATCCCGACAGCATGGCTACAAGTGCTTTACCTGGAACTTTATTTCCAACAACCACTACAGGTGGCTCATCCAAAGTGAGAGAGAGCTCCCTCATTCCTAGGTTTAGTTACTGTTTTTGCTTTGTAGATACTATCATTTGTTTTGTTTTTCTTTACTAGCTTCCAGGTGAAAATCTGGTGCAGCTAGATCCGAATGGTGAAATCAGGTTATATGCCTGCACACTAACTACCAAGCAAGGGAAAGCAGGCATCTGGGATTTTTATGCCTCTGCCACTTAGATTATAAATGTAGGGAATTCTCCTAAAGTAGAGGCTTCAGATGCTGAATGGCCAAAGTAATCCACCATATATTTTGCCCTTCAAAACTTGTGTAATCTTAAAAAGATTACCAGTTTTAATACTATTTGCATGCACTCTGATATTTTAATCTATAATTAAATACATACTATTTTGGTGAATAGAAATTACCAATCTTCCATGAACTGAAAATGCTATTATTATTATTGTTGACCTCTCAAACTTTGTGAACATTTAAGATACCCTCCTATATATACTCTACAATACTCCAAAGCATTTCCCAGGTATTCATTTATGCAACTCCTTGAAACCAACTCAGAGACATGTGTCTTTTTTCCAGACAGGGTCTCACTTTATCGTCACCCAGGCTGGAGTACAGTGGCAGAATCTCAGCTCACTGCAACCTCTACCTCCCAAGCCATCCTGTCACCTCAGCCTCCCAAGTAGCTGGGACTACAGGTGCACACCACCACACCCAGCTAAATATTTTTGTATTTTTAATAGAGATAGTTTTTCCCCATGTTGCCCAGTCTGGTCTCAAACTCCTGGGCTCAAGCAATCCACCTACAAGCGTAAGCCACCTCACCCATCCCAGAGACATTTTTTAAATGCCTTTTCCTTGCCTTTACACAATTTCATAAATTCATAGAGTCAAGCCAAAAAAAACTTTTGACTTAAATATGAATTGTCTTATACGCTATTTTGATTTGTGTGTCCTAACAGTAACAAAATTCAGGTGATGCTTTCTTATTTTTTGTGTGTTTCTGGTGATCTAAAGGACATGGATGCTAATGTGTTATGAATAGCTCAGGTGATTTTGCTCTCAAGCATTTTTTAAAGGCAAAATTCTACACATCAGTAATAGTTATACTGCCATTTGAGGTAATAACCTGACCCACTGACAAAGGAGCCCAGTGATATAATATTATTTTCATATGTTTCTTTTACACCTCTCCCTGCTAATTATTATCATGTTACCAGATTCTTGCCTGAAAAAAAAAAATCAGAGTCATTACATGAAGCATCTTTGACCACTGAATTTCCAATACTTCTTTGTTGTGTCCAGATGCTAAGCCCTTTTCTAACTTGAAAAAAAAAAAAAAAAAAACTGGAGACCTGATTCTGTTTACCTCTTGTAGTTTCTCTTATCTGTTTCTAACCACTCTGTGTAGTGCCTCTCTCTTTTTTGCTGTCTACACACACTGAGCATCCACCATACCAACAATCACAGTATATGGTAATGAAAAGTGGAAGGGAAGATGGCTCTTGCTTCTCACAGACAAACCCACTATCTCAATGGATTGTCTGTTGTTGTTGTTTTGGTTTTCTTTCAGATGGAGTCTCACTCTGTTGTACAGCCTGGAGTGCAGTGGTGCCATCTTGACTCACTGCAACCTCCACCACCCAGGTTCAAGTGATTCTCCTGCCTCAGCCTCCCGAGTAGCTGGGATTACAGGCACCTGCCACCACACCCTGCAAATTTTTGTTTTTTCAGTAGAGACAGGGTTTCACCATGTTGGCCAGGCTGATCTCGAACTCCTGCCCTCAAGTGATCTGCCCACCTCGACCTCACAAAGTGCTAAGATTACAGGCATTAGCCACCACGCCCAGCCTCAGTGGATCTTGATGAGCCACACAACCCATTCCTTTTATGTCTTTATGAATGCTACCAGAAAGTTTCATTTTGTTCTCTCTGAAAAAGACCTTGATTGTAAAAAGTCTTCTGATACACGGAAGTGAAAGGGCATGTTATACAGAGAAGCGCACGCCCCTCTGCCCTACCACCACTGCACCTATTCTAAGCATGTTATAGACAGAACGATGCCTATCTGCCTATGTAAGCTCTTGCCTGTTTATTCTTGGGACCTGTCCCAGCTGTGACCCTATTACTCCTTTGCTCTTTCTTCATTTGAGGACTATGACTGTGAACTCTATTTCTGCCTTTCTGCACATATATAGGCCACAGGAGGAAGTAAA